CCCACATATCTGAACAAGATATTCGTAGGCCGCAAGGACGGCTCTGTCGAGATTTGGAACCTCAGCACTGCCAAGCTGCTATACACGCTTCTCCCGCCAGCCGCAGACTTCGGCTCTGTGACCGCCCTACAGCCGACGCCCGCTTTGTCCCTCCTCGCTATCGCATACAAGTCCGGCCCAATTACAATCCACGACATTCGCGCCGACAAGGAGATTATGCGCCTGAACACAGGTGGCTCGCAGAAATACCCAGTGACATCAATATCCTTCAGGACCGACGGACTAGGTGCTGGCGACGATGGTCGTGAAGACGGCGTCATGGCGACAGCCAGTACTCAGAGCGGCGACATTACCTTCTGGGACCTAAACAAAGGCGGTCGTAAGACCGGTACTCTGCGCGGAGCTCATGGTCCACCCCCGGCTGTCAGTGGAGGTGTAGGTGGCGGCATCAGCAAGATTGAATTCCTCGCTGGGCAAGCTGTGATTGTGTCAAGTGGCTTGGACAACTCTTTAAAGACATGGATTTTCGACGTAACCCCCTTCTCGCCCCTACCGCGCATCTTGCATTCTCGTGGCGGCCATGCTGCGCCAGTTTCGACTCTTCGCTTCCTCCCTTCCAACTCAGACGGCTCCGATGATGTCGGCAAATGGCTTCTTAGCTCGAGTCAAGATCGAAGCTTGTGGGGCTGGAGTTTGCGACGCGATGGTCAAAGCACAGAGCTCAGCCAGGGTGCTCTTCAGAAGAAAGCGAAGAAGATGGGGCTCTTGAACGGAAATGCCGAGACTTCCAAGCACCACATCAAGTTGGAAGACCTGAAAGCGCCAGCCATCACCTGCATGGCTTGTTCTCTCAACCGCGATGGTGGCATGGGCGCCATGCCTGGCGTAACTGGCATCTGGACCAATTCATCCAAGGTCAAGGGTCAGGACAAGAAAGCTACAGAGGTGAACATGACTGGATGGGAGAGCATTGTCACAGGACACGCTGGTGACAAAATCGCGAGAACCTGGTTCTGGGGGCGCAAACGGGCTGGTAGATGGGCATTCGAGACAGGCGACGGTACAGAGGTCAAGAGTGTTGCAATCTCGTCCTGCGGTACGTTTGCTGTGATTGGTTCCGCTGGTGGCTCCATCGACATGTACAACCTGCAGTCTGGCCAATTCCGTCGCAGGTTTCCCGCTCGACTCACTCCGGCGGAAGCCAAACAATACAAACTCCGACAATTACAAGCCGAGGAGGCTATGGACATCGCAGACGATTCGCCACGGAAGTTTGCAAAGGGCGAAGGCAAACACAAAGGAGCTATCACTGGTCTTGCCGTAGATGGTCTGAACCGTACGCTGATAAGCTGCTCCGATGATGGCAAAGTCAAGGTAAGTAACTATTTCTCCCACTGCTGATTAACACTAACTCGTTTTTAGTTCTGGGACTTCGCTACCGGCATATTACTTCACGAGATCGACTGGTACCCCATGACAAAGATTCACGGCCTACGCTACCACCGAAACAGTGATCTGATAGCACTGAGCTGCGACGATGGCTCAATCCGTGTATTGGACATTACCACGAAGAAACTCATTCGAGAGCTATGGGCATCGAAGTCCCATGCTGCGTTGCAGACTCTCGACTACACATTTTCGAGCGACGGCCGATGGATCATTTCTGCAGCCTCTGACTCCACAGTCAGGGTATGGGACTTACCGACGGGCCATCTTATCGACGCCATGAAACTTCGCCGAAAGTGTAACACAGTGGCCTTCTCACCTTCGGGCGAGTTTCTCGCTACCGGGCTGGATGGCGAGGTTGGTGTGCACATTTGGACAAACCGAACACTCTTCACTCATGTTTCAACCCGCCAAATAACAGAAAATGATGTCGTCGAAGTGAATGCGCCGACAGCATCTGGCGAGGGCGGTGTCGCCGTCGTCGACGCTGCGACAGAAGAGCAGGCAGAAGACGAGGATCAGGACGAAGTTACAGTGCCAGTCATGGACCAGCTCAGCGACAAGATCACAACACTCAGCTTAGTCCCGAAATCTCGCTGGCAGACACTGTTACATCTCGATGTCATCCGTGCCCGCAACAAGCCCAAGGAGGCTCCCAAAGCGCCAGAGAAGGCGCCTTTCTTCCTCCCATCCCTTGGTCAGAATCAAATTCAGGGAGCAGACAACACTGCTCTCGCACCACTCGACCAAGACCCCAAATCTCGTATTTCCAGCTCCGCGCTTGCTTCGCGTTCTAGCGCCGCCACGGCTACTGATGTGTTCAGCCGTCACCTTGCACATGCGACCGAGACTGGCCAATATACACCTCTCCTAAGCCACCTCTCTTCCCTTCCTCCGTCGGCCGCTGACATCGCAATTCGCACCCTTGACACGACGGAGCCTTACACTGAGCTACGAACTTTCATTGGGGCATTGACTGCGAGACTACAAGAACGTCGAGACTACGAGCTGGTACAGGCTTGGATGAGTGTGTTCCTGCGACTACATGGAGACATTGTGGTCAAGGATCCCGAGCTTGTGGGCGAATTGAGGAAGTGGCAAGAAGAGGCAAAGAGGGAACGTGAAAGGGTTGGTGGGTTAGTAGGATATAGTGTTGGTGTGGTCGGATGGGTCAGAAGCGCAAGATAGGCTTCTGGTTGCATGTGCATGTTTAGCATATTTCGCAGCTGTCGCCTTGTTCTTGGCCTACCAGTTGACACAGAATCAATAATTACGGTACTCCTTACAGTTTCAAGTTAAGAACTTTCGATGCTCTCCAGCATGACTTCGGTCATATCTCAGACGTATCTTGCCCCACTGTCGTCTGATGTAGAGCAGGTGTTGCGCCCGCTACAGACATTGAGATCTGCGCAGCCATGCCTTCCGCACCCAGCAACTTCCCAGCTGGCTTCCAGCGTAGCAGTTTCGTCACATGGCTGCACCGTGCCTCACCCAACTCCAGAACCCATCGTACTTCGACCACCTGGAAAGCCATGACAGGGATCAATCACAGGAAACCGGTTCTCAGACGACCAAGAAATGGTAATCAGAGCTTCAGTCTCTCGAAGAGTTTTCCTAGGGTTTGATGTTTCACAAGGATGCCTGAGTTGCCCGGGCTACATACGCTTCATTCAAAGAACACGATGCAATCATGCTCTACGAGCCGTTGCAGATACATGCCTATGCAGCCACCACTGCGAGTTCTATTACCTAATTTCATGAAGTCCTCATTAAACAAACTCGAGCTCATGATGATCGTGAGGCAGTGTTGTACGTGGTTGTGACCCGCTCTGCAGGTACGTTTCTCCACCATGACATCACAGCAAAATACATCATCGCGATGACACAAAATGATCGCGACGAGAACTTCTTACCCCTCATACTCACACTCACAAATCTTCCACTGCTCTTACTTTCAGCTTAAGCCCAACTACTACTACACCAACCAAACCTTACTCACATACTTCATCATGCCTCGCAACGGAGACGGATCCTCAGACAACGGCCCCATCGAGGTCGGCAAGGACGCTGTCCACGGCGCCTCTGGAGACGTACGTACCCTCATCTACCATCGTCCATCTCAAGCTTGAGACTAACAGATACCAGTCAACCCTCGAGCACACCAAGAACAACGTCGCTCCCATGCCTAAAATCGAGAAGGGCGAAGGTACGACCCGGCTGCCCCACCTACCCCTCTCCGCATCCCAAGCTCTTTTCCAAACCACAATGAAGGAAGAAAACACAACTGCAAAAGACGCAAGCACTGACACAACGCAGCTATCGAAGGCATGAACGCCTCCGGCGGCGGCCTTGCACCAAAGAAAGGCCACACCGGCCAAGGCGCCCCCGCCACCGACTCGAACAAGCCCGCGCCTGTCGACCAAGTCACCAAATAAGATATCACCACCAGAGCGTAGAGCGACAGACATGCGCTCGGCCTCTAGGGAGGACATCCCCGGTGCCAACAAGGGGTCCGGCTAGCTAGCTAGTAAAGCAAAGCAAGGGAGTAACATCTACAAGTGACAACGGACTTTTGCGAGTAACATCGGTAGTTGCGTTGCATTGCATTGCATGCTTGCAAGCGGCGTGGGCCCCTAGATAGCTACGAAAGTAACGAATGGAAGTCAAATAACTCAAAGAAGATCTTCTTAACAGCATGTGGTTCTAGATTCCTGTGTTGGTGGGGCCAAAACGCGGTGTGAATGTTCCTGCGGTGTACATGCTGTTCTCGCATGCCATGTTCCCTGCGACGCCAAAATGGTGTTGATGACTTAGTAGACCTCGTAAGCGAAGGCCGATAAACCTCACGCACAATCGCGAAGGCCGAATTTCACGTTCGTCCGCCTATCATAGGTACGGGACGAGCTGAGTTGTGTGAGAATTACTCGACTGCGCCATTCGTATTGACGGAGTCCACGGAAGCCAGACATCCGTAACGGCCTATGAATAGACCCTGTGTACGTACTCCGGTCACGTCATTAGGCGACCTAGAAATAAGTTGGTTCTCATGTCATCGTGGCTGCTGGGCAAGTAGTTTTGAGTGGAGGCGGCTGGCGTCAGCCTGCATGCGAAGTCAGTCTCGCCTCAGCTGAGCCGGAGTCCGAAGCGGAGGGTTGGGATGCTTAGCGTGGGAAGCTGGAAGGGGGCAGAATCGTGGAGAATCGGTGGCCCTGGTGGAGCGGCAGTGGGGAACTTTGGTACTCAACAAAAAGCACATGTGAAAGGGTAGAGCATCAACAACATTGAGGAAACATCACGATGGGACGAAGTAATGAAGTGGTAGATCGTGGTATTTGGCTAGATAAAGGCACCAGCCCTTGGTGAATTTTGTCCGCCATAGCCTATCCAGGAAGCGATATCCAGAATGGTTACCAAGTCTAAAACGAAACTGTTGCTACAAGAGTGTACACGCTCATGACGCCGTCCGACGCCCGGTAGTGATGCCACACTCCATATTTTCCCAACCCAGTGCCCCTGTTAACCTCAATGACCGAACCTTACGCCGACCCAATTGTCTAGGCCTGGAAGACCTCATCATTCGTGATCCACAGCCACCATCCACCAACTCGGTTTGCTTCTTCGCCCCCTTGGTGGATCTCTTGATGGCGTCAGTGCTAAAGTTGTCCCGCTGCGAGGGCCTCGTCGCTAACCGAAGTTGCGCCAGAGGCACTCTGCAAGTCGTTGAACTTTGCATCAAAGCCGTCAAGAAAGCCGTAAGAGTTTGAGTAAGAACCGTGGTCAAAGGATGTTGGACCGAAGGCATCGACTGAAGAAGAATCGACCATGCTAAAAGGGGGTTCCATTGGAGCAGTCGTTGTTGGACTGCACTTTGGGAACGGGTCGAAGTCGAAGAAGTTCTCCATGACGACAGACTTTTCGTCGACTGGAGCGTAAGGTTGAAGAGAGAGAGGTAGGCCCAGGTCGCCCGTAGAGAGGCCCCCGAAGTCGACTGACACGGCAGGTCGCACAATATCGCGGCAGGATATTGTGTCGAGTCGAATTCGGGAGAAGCCTCAAAGCTTGATGGGGGAGTCTCAGGTTGGCACGATGAGTCACGGGGTGAGTCCATCGAGTCCATTGACTCTGGGCTGGGGAAGGAGGTGGGGATCTGCGCGGGGCAGATGGTGTCGAAGGTGTCGCGGGGTGGTGTAGCGAGGTCGAAGACAGGCTGAGGTGCTTCGCCGGGGTACTTGGAGCGGAAATATCTCAGCTCGGCCTCCATCTCAGCCATCTTCTGTTTGTAGGCTTGCATGTTGGCCTCGAGCTCGTCCTTCTCGGTCTGGAGGACTTCGTATTCTTGGCGCTTCCGTTCGCGGGAGTTGTGGGCGGCGAGGCGGTTGCGCTTTACACGCTCGATGCGTCGTTGCTCCTTCTCGTCCTCGGTCTTGGCCCGCTTCCGTGGAGGCAGGCTGGTCTTGGGCTCGGGGAGCACCTGCCCCCACGACTTGCGCTTCTTGACGGGTTTTGAGCCATTGCTCTCGGGCGCTGGTGTTTGTGATGCTTCCGACGAGTTGGACGAGTGGTGTGCGGGTGAGGGTGAGTGGTCGTAGTTCTCGATCATCTCCATTTTGATAGTAGTAGGCATGGCCTCGACTGATGGTGGGGGAAGGGGCGTGGAAGTCATGGCGGAGTTGTTGATGGTTTGGGAAAACAGACTAGAGTCGAAGGTGTACTGAGCCATGGTGAAGTCGATGTAGGATGGAGCTCTGAGTGGGCATAGTGGGTGATTATCACTAGGACCCGGGCTGTGCGGCGCTGAGGACAGGTGGCATCTACGGACCCTTTAATAGGCAGCTGCCAAGCGCACTTCTGGACCCCTTGAACGCTTGCCCGCATCGGGGCCGAGCTAATTGTGCCCACTCCGACACACGCCCCCCTACGCTAGGAACTCAGCCATCAGCCGCGGGCCGTCCATCGTTTCACGACCCAAGTCAGGGGAGTGTGTTGCAGTCGTCTTACAGCTGCCCGGATTTCATTCCTGTGTCGCTGTGCCGTCGGTACCAGTCTCAGAGGGCGGCGCCGCTACTCCACGGCCTTCTGCCCCCTTCTGAAGCAGGCGTAAACGGCCTCATCCAACTCCGACGTGCAGTCGCGGCGTAGCACAAGCTGATATTAGCCTTCTCACCGACCCACCTGTATCACTCGCTGCACCTCAGTGGCGACACGAAACAAGTTCAATGTAGCATGTCGTAAGATGCCGTCAGCCAAACCCAATACGCCCTTACGCCGCGCTGCATCCATCTCCCTCCGCGTCGTCTTCACAGTCACGCACACCCCCCCCCAAATTATTGCGTGCAATATGCTCGTATACTTCACCCACGGCACGTGTAGATGAAGGCCCGAAGCCATTCCTTCTCGAAGCATCTGTACCCCATAGTTGCAATCTATTTGGCCGCGTCGCTAAGCATTCCACCCACACATCTTCATATCCCCACACAACCTTGCAATCTACAACCACCTTCCATAGTGCGACCTACTGCCGGAAGATTTGCGCAACCTGGGGTAAAGTTCCTTTGTTCGTGGAAGCACCGGGAATGTGCATAGAAGCTTAGCCTTAGCTTCCTTTCTTTATTGCTGCTGCAAACTGAAGCGTCACACGAGGCCCTTGGTTTCCGGCTTTATTCAAGCAACGCATCCCTGGTGGGTTTCTGGCTGTTTCCATTCGGACTTCACGAACATGTGAGACGGAGGCTCTCCGGTAGTAAGAAATGACAAGCCGGTGGTTCGTTAAGCCGCACTCATCATCATGCGGCACCGAAATTACTTTTGCCTTATCGTCATCTGGTCGTCCCATTGTCCGTTGCCACTACGCAATGGACTGAATGCGCAGGATTTGGAGAACAGGATTCCAGTCTCGAATAAAGACGGGTTGCGTAATACTAGGCTAGCGTCTCGAGCGTGCTTTGTCGTGGACATCGTGCGCTGCTCCACAGGCCGACTCGTCACCGTTTCAGGCACCAGAATTCGGACCTATCGCATCGGAGCCGCCTCCAATCCAACGGTCCAGATCTTAGTCGTCACGTTCTTGACTCAGTACATAGGATCTACCTCAGTAATACTACCGCCTACACGGCATGCTCCAATGAGCTGTACAGGACTACGTGCGGCTCTGATTAGTATTACCATGGAGCAAATGGCTCCTGTTCATCGTGAGAAACATAAGGATGTCGGCTGACCTTCATGAAGCCAATCCGGCACGATCCGAGAGACGAAAAGGGGAGCATGCTCACGACGACCGCGATCATTGCCCCCTGGGTAGCTGTCTCAGTACCAGATCATCACAGCAATAAGACTGCCGCCTACGCGTCCTCGTTCAATGCGGGCCACGCAATGGCGGAAACCAAGACGTTTATCGACGAACCGGCTCTTGTGTATATCGAATCTAATCAACCAAAGCAAAGCTGATCTAGGCGCCGACCTCTCCATCGAGACCATTGCTGCCACGCACACAGTACCAGCAATTATGCTAGGCATCACTAAAGAAGTCTCGTCGTCATGCGTACATCTTCAGGCCGTAGCATACAACGAGAATGAACATGACCACAAACGTCATTACGATGTTTCTTCGTCATCACCGTTGTCGTGTGTGCCTATGTTTTATGTGCAATGTGTATCCTCGAGACCCCGAGCATTGATGCCTAGATCACTTCGATAAGCGTCTGTATGCCCGCATAGTCGCAAAGCAAGCAGCGTTAAACTGCTGCCTATCCCAGCTCGGCCATCGAGAAATGATTCAGATGACTAGTCACCCAGCGACATGCCCGGAATACTCATGAAGTAAACAAGAGCCACCTAGGGCAATCGAGCGACTCAGCATGAAGGATAAGATAATGCTCAGAGATTGCAGGTCCAGCTTACACACACATGATCAAAGAGTGACCGTGCTATCATTTCCTCAAATCTGCATACACAAAGCCAGTCAAGTATCGACCTCAGAAAACGGGACACGTTGTGTGCAAAGGCGGTCACTCGCTGTCGCATGACATCAAAAAGGCATATACGACCAGGCAGTGAACAAGCAAATAGTGAAAGGTATATCGGCATTTCTCTATCAAGGAGCACCTGTCACTCCATCTATGGTCACCGTAGACCTCTAACATGAACGTAGCACACCAATCGAACACCGACATGATGAATAATGGATTGAGGATGCGCCGGAGGTGAAGAATTGATAACCATGACCGATGAGGTTGTTGCTGTCAAGAGGAAGCATATACTGAGGTGTATCGAGTCGTACCCCCAGCCTCAGGTATGGCAACTATTTTTACATCGTTCGCAACCTCGCCCCGTCCTGGAAGCAGCAGTGGTATCTAATGAAATTATGTGAGCACAACAGTTTTGGGACATCAATGTAGTTTGAATGTCTCAAACCGGAACGCCCACGAAACCAATCTTCGGTTTCACTCTCGCACCGTCAGTGCTCTCTCCGCCCCATTGGCTGCGCCACTCTTGTTCTTCAGCCTTGATCTGCTCAAACGCTTGTAGTTCTTCGGGCTTCATGTTCGACTTGTCCTCGTCGTCCAGGGTCGGTAGACCGTTTGTACCGACGTCAACGAAGTCACCATCGGGCCCGGGTATGCCCAGGCCGGCGAAGGGAGGTTGTTGAAAGACCGAGTCGACCACGAGATACTTGCGACGAACGAGTGGAGGTACGTCGGTCTCTTCCGCAGGAACCTCCTCCCAACGTGCATGGGTGGGTTGTGTGACCTTGGGATAACACATCAGGTTGGTATGTGGGTCGTATACGCCCGTGAGATTTGCTTTCCGTAGCTTGGAGAGGTTCGAGTTGAATCGACTAGGGTATGTTAGTCCTGGTAGTCATAGATAGGTGTAAAAGTTATGCATACCTTGCAGCGCGACCATGTTCAAACTGCCAGTTGGCAGAGGTGATGTTGACCTTCCGTTTTCCAGGGGCAGGCTTGCCATTTGCAGTAGGTACACTGGGCACACCGGTGTGATAGACACTACTGGCACCATGCCAAGCGACGTATTGATTCTTGTTGTATGGCTCTCCTGGAGGCGGAAGCCTGTCGTTGGGGTCTGCAAGCTCGCCCTCGACTGCGCCGCTTTCCTTTGCTGCTGTAACGTAGTAATCGTCAATGACTCTCTTGCCGCCGATGATGATGCGCGCGCCGAACTCGCGGAAGACAGATCGTGCTGTGACGACACCGATGGCACGACCCTTGTAGGAATGAGGTATGATGTCGCGGTCGATCAGGTCCCTTTTCTCAGCGTCGTCGATGATGATCTTGTAGAGCTTCATGTGCTTGGTGAAGAACAGATAACTATCCCTAAACCCACAGCATCGAGCCGGTTCAGTCGACAACATGTACTGTCTGTCGCCCCTGCCCTTGATGGTGAATATGCGCACGCGGTAGTCTCGTCCACCCATGAGGTTACCCAGCTTGTCGACCTTCTGCTCGCCCTCTTCATCTTCTGGTAGGTCAACCTCATCGTTGACTACGTCCATCATGTTGCCCTCTTTGTCTATAGGAACGCGCGTGGTATGCGACGGCCCTCCCTTTGGAGGCCTTCCTCGACCTCCACCAGACGGCCGTCCCCGCTTGCGCTTGACGGGTGTGCCGCCTTCGGAGTTGTCGGGCTCGATGACATTCCAGTCCGGCGGCCTGTTCTTAGGAGGGCGACCAAGACGCTTCTTGCGCGGAAATGGCTGGATGACTGCTGGAGACGGCGAACGCTCAGAGGGCGCGGCTTCCTCGTCGCTTCCCTGAGCTGCGGATTCAGCATCTTCTTCCTCCTCCTTGGGTGTGTCGGCGCGCGATTCTGGTGCATCTATCATATCCTCGTCGCTGTCTTGCTGGGGTGTTGCGCTGCGAACAGGCGTGCTGCGACGCGCTGCAGCTCGCGATGGGCGGCCGCGCGCCATTGTGGCTGGTCGAAAACGGCGTTGATGTGGCGTAGGTGAAGCTAGCAACGGTTGTCGCGGTGTGTTTGTAACTCCAACTTCGGGGTTCGGATGCAAATTGGGTGAAGGGCGGTGTCGGTGGTTAGCGATGCTCTTGCACTCCAGGAATGCTAAGGACCGCGACGTGAAAGAGCTAAGCAAGGGTCCCGCGCACGGCCCACGGTCATCACGTGCAAGCTTAAGCCAGGCGTTTTCGTCAACGTCTTCCCCAGACTAAACGTACATTCTCCAATACCTCACAAGTAGCCATCGTTGATCAAGCAATCATACCCACTGCAGTAAACGATGTCAATACCTGTCATGTCCAAGCAACGGCACGACCTCGGGAAGCCCCAAGCATATCGCATCTCCACCTAGGTATTACGGGAATCATGAGAAACGAGCTCGTTGAACAGGTCTCTTCAACATCATACCAGCGAACATGATACCTGGAGTTATTTCTCTTAGAACAAACGGGTTCAGAGTATTTTATGAGCGCGTCGTCTGCACCCGCTCAATTTGTAGAGGGGTTGATCCTGCCAAAACCACCATACGCTCTTGGAACTTGCCACCTTGAAGTACACAGAGTCAACTCGGCAGGACCAGACGTGTGTATCAACAAACATGGATCAGATGTCAGGAGCGCCGCTCCAACAGCTCCCACACACTCGTGGCCTCATCCGTTCGACTAAGCCCGTAGCCTCAACCACACTGCCGAACCTACAGTGCAGTACTGGGATAGTGACGAACAGCCACCATGCCTTTTGATCGCATCATCAGTGCCAAGAGGAGCTTTACGGGTATCTTCTCTCGAATGAGTATAGCTCCGTGAGTCGGAGATGTTCTTTTCTCTGCTCTGCTATGCTGACATTGTCAAGTCCCTCGCCGCCCTGCTCCGCTAAGCACAACGAGAACAATGCACCAAGCTGTGAGACTCCAGGACCATCCTCTCCAGTCGCGAGCTCAACTTTGCCGGACTCTAGCGACGAATCGCCTATCAGAGAGAGTCCGTCAATGCGCAAAGGTCTAATGGGCTCGTTGCGAAAGCAAAAGCTGCGGAGCATCGGCTCTTTACGTAGCTTGCGCTCACCTACCAAGACCAAGCAGTCTGATACATCAGAGTACCTCATGGATAGTGTAAGCATCTTTCCCCACAACGGAGAAACGACGACTGACTCTCTTTCCTCTAGAGTCCGCTGACCCCGAAGCACCGCCTCAACTCATCGCTTTTACTCTGCTTCGAGGAGTCTCCCCCAGACAGACCAATGTTCGATCTTGACCGCATGGACTCCCGAACCTCGAGTTTATATGTCCACCATTCCTCGCCGGTACCGGTCCCATCACCCTATGAACAGATTCCGCAATCACCTGCCGATTCATCGCTCATACCAAATGGAACTGTTCCACCATCACCAGCACCTATCCAGAAGATTCTGGACTCAGAGAAGACCATGGTTCGTTCGTCACCAGCATATACCCACGGGTACGAAACAGTTTCGGAAGCGATGAAAAGGCCAGCTTCAACAAAAAGCGCTCTGTCTGACAGTCTTCGGGAGGCTGCAGTCTACTTCAATGAGCCTCTCGTTCGCCTTCCAAACCCAGGATCCGAATATCTGCCTATCGACGATTGCTTTTCACTTCCTGCTAAGAGCGAAGACTTAGGTCAGACATCAGCCCGAGAGGATCCGTCTGGGGTGGATCATGTGGATAATTCGCCAGTCTACAACAAGCCGGATAAGCCATCAGAGGATGCGACCACTGAGGTCTCCAATGCAACGAATACAGACAGGACACCAGAGGAACATGCACAGCTCATCCTTGAGAAAGGCTACCAGGCATGCGTCTACCGTCGAGCAGACGGAGAGTGTCGTCTGAAAATCAATCTGCTCGCCTTTTGTCATGAAGATGACGACGACTGCGAATGGAACATCAAAACGCAAATTAGGTTTGCTGCCGCAGAAGAAGAAAAGCTGGCGTCACAATTGAGCGCCATCATTCGGAATGTGGGGCTTACCTCTATGTCTGACAGCGAGCTCGATGAGGCTTTTGCTACAGGAAAACTTCCAGCCAATCTGGATGTTGACCCAAGTTGGCAGGTCGTGGAGGAAGTGAATATGGGAAAGCGTGACAGTTCCTGGGGCGAGCATACTGGGCTCTACGATGGTAGCGGCTATGGGTCAAGTTCCAGCTCCCGACCTGTGACTGGTGTGACTGAGACGGCCGACGTACCTCGTACACGTATCCCTGGAGCATTCGTCGACCACGAAAATGAAGCGCCTATGATCATCCGCAGGCTGTGGGACAATACCTATCCGCACAGTCCAGATACGGACTCGCCTGTGAAGGCTACCGTGGCTGATCCCGCAATCTCCGCAGCGCAAGAGCAGCACAACAACCCCTTGCAAGACTACGAAGCCTTCCAGGGCATGTTGGATCTTGGTGGCAGTGCATAGATCATCGGGTACGCACTTCGTTATGCAGGGTCGTTTAAATTCGCTGGGTCGGGTCGGGCCCTGAAAAGTGTGACAGTGACCGATCAGGAACGGTACATCCGGCATCCTTCCCAGCAAACAGTATTCCATCGATAGAGTCTCCATAGTTATCAATGCAGCCCACAAGTTTCTTCCACATACGCGTCTTCCAGCTCATCCCACACATGCGCAGCGCGGCGTTCGCGTGCCCCAACTCTCATGATGGCACCACTGTACCCAATAGCCGTACATGTAATCAAGGTTCCAGTCCGCAGATCATCCGAGTGTTGCATCAGTTAGTCCAACCAACGGTAATCGAAAGCAGCGAAGATCCGGGCTCCAGAAGGTGTAGGAGGGAAATCAGGCCATGTCGGCTCATGCGACTTACCCGAGTCTGGGACGGTGACTGGGGTGTGCAGTGGAGTTAGCGAAGATGTGCGGAACAGCTCGTACGATGTTTAGTATTTTGGGTGGGCAGCAACATGATCTAACACATGATGATTATGCTGTGATGTGAGACGCCGCTGGTGTGCCGGCCTTGCGCGAAGAGTACTTGCTGGCGTGCTTAAAGGCGTGGTGGCGGGCGGCTTCGAGGCTGTTGCGGTGTCCCTCGGTTTGCCCCGCGTGAAGTTCAGAATGCCAGGCCAAATCCATGCTTCTTGTGGGGAGAACGCCAACGACGTCGTTATCCTTGGCTGCGGCATCATCGGCTTGTGTACCGCGTACTATCTCACAGAAAGCGGAAATACAGATCCAAAGAGTATTCATCTGGTTGATTCGAGTCCGAAGTTATTCCATTGCGCGTCTGGCCTTGCTGCGGGCTTCTTGAGTGCCGACTGTACGTTTGGCAGCGTACGACGCGTGCAACATCAGCGCAGCGCGTCATTCAACACCTGATCACTTTGTCTAACTGCGAAGTAGGGTTTGCACCATCCGTAGCTTCCCTCGGCGCGTTATCTTTCAAACTTCACGCCGACCTCGCGAACGCGCATTCCGGACGTACAACATGGGGATACTCGCAGTCCACCGGAATCTCCCTTTCACAAGACAGCGAATCAGCCATTGGCGGTAGCGGCGAAGACTGGCTTGAGAATGGAACGAGTCGAGCACAATTAGCGAATCACAACAAGCCTTGGGAGGAACAGGCTGCTGGTCCAGAATGGCTTCGGCGCACACAGGAAGGCATTATGGAGGTCATAAGTAGGGATGGGACGACCGCACAAATCGATCCGTTGAGATTCTGCCAGTGGCTTCTGAAAGAAGTTCAGAGAAGGGGGGTCACGATACATCAGCCAGCGATGGCGACAGCCATCATCAAAGACTCAGAAGACGTGTTGCGTGGTGTAAGGATATCAGAGGGTGACGATGCAGAGTTGGAGACAGAGTGTAAGGTCCAATCCATGCTACCTAACTACACATTTGCTAACTACCTACAACAGTACCATGTAGCCGTCTCGTAATAACCTCCGGTGCATGGTCTCCACGCGTATTCAGCACCCTCTTCCCATCCTCGAAAGCGCGCATCCCCGTCTCCTCCTTAGCTGGCCACTCGCTGCTCGTTCGAAACCCACACCACAAACCCGAAGAGCTCGACAAGGAAGTCTGCCACGCAGTCTTCGCGACAGATACACTCGGCTTCTCGCCAGAGTGGTTTGCGAGATTGGGAGGAGAGCTGTATCTGGCAGGCCTCAATAGCACAAATATACCTCTGCCAGAGGTTGCAACAGACGTTCAGGCTAGTACGAAAGCCATCGAGCAGTTGAAACAGTGTGCGAAGGCTATGATGGTGAATGTGCCGGGCAAGGACATGGAAATTTTGAGGGAGGGTTTGGTAAGTTAATACTGGGAGTAGAATGTTAAACTAGTTTGCTAATCGCAGGACAGTGTTTCCGTCCAGTCACATCTAGCGGCCGACCTATCGTATCGCGGATACCGGACGAAAAGCTGGGGGGTACCAGGACAAGGGAGGAAGGCAATGGAGGTGTCTTTATAGCGGCGGGCCATGGTGCCTGGGGTATATCGCATGCGCCTGGTACTGGACTTGTTCTGTCAGAGCTGATAGAAGGGCGGGAAGCAAGCGCGAATATCGAAGCGTTGCAATTACCAACGTAAAGTGCTCTTACTCAAACAAAATGTGTATTGGGTTCTCATCAACTGGCTATATCGAGACAAACGTGCTGGCCCTGTGACGAGTATGGAATCAGGCTTCTTGTCTCTGACATCATCCAGTGCACGATATCCTCGGAGTTAGCGCAGGACTGCGCCGCACGTTCGCACAATGACTCCGCAGTTGGTCTTGTCGAATCGTCACATAAGCTACTATAGCAATTCCAAGCAAAAACAATGTCTACAAATCCCGCCGACGAGGTGGCCGCGAGGAAACGAGCTGAACGTGAGAAGAACCCCATCCATATTGAACAACTGGACGCAAGCGTGTTGGCTGGTACGTTCCTAGTCAAACAACTACTTCGACTTCCCTGCAGCTAAAGACCATACGCAGCACTACCAAAGGATGTGAAGATACTGTCAATTAGACAGTCCGGTGAAAGCGCGTGGTGTGAGAGTTTCCGCATCGATACAAACCTACAAGATGGCTCGGAGAGGCAGTACTTCGTCAAGGTAGATTGTGTGTGTCTTGTCACACGAAAGATCCCATCTAATAGGATCGCAGATCAAAACAGGCAGACTAGGAAAGCGAATGATGCAAGGTACCTACGAATCCGAACTACTTTATCACTCTTACTGCCCCGAACATGTTCCAACACCAATTGCCTGGGGAGCCTATAAAGACCACCCGGATACATGGTTCTACATCTGCGACTTCCACGACATGGCGATGGAGAAACTGGATCCAAGTGCCTTTGTCGACATCATTACTGGGGTGCACAAAGCAAGTATGGGAAAATCACCGCTCGGCAAATACGGATTCCACATTCCAACTCACCTTGCTCACGTACCGAATGACAATACATGGGAAGACTCGTGGGAGATCTGGTACACCAAAGCCATGCAGACCATGTATGATCTAGAGAAGAGCAAATACGGGATAGACGAAGAGTTAGAAGTCATCTTCGAAGCTCTCCGTTCAAAAGTCATACCTAGGTTGCTCCGTCCTCTGGAAACCGGCGGTCGCTCTATTGAACCATGCCTCTTGCATTCGGATCTCTGGCCTGGAAACTGCATGCTGGAGAAAAAGACTGGCAAGATCATTATCTTTGACTCGTGTGCTTTCTGGGGTCATAACGAGTGTGACTTGGGTAGCTGGCGTGCTCCGCGGTACAATATGGGCGAGGAGTTCTTTACGTGCTACAAGGATATCGTGAAGCCCTCGCAAACAGAGGAAGATTGACGATCGCAACAGACTTTACGCCATGTAAGTAGCTTCCCAAACAAGAGGGTTGTTTCGCTCACGGTGATCAGTCGCTATGATCTTCTGGTCTCCGCGCTCTATCCGGAGAAGCCCGAATTTCACAATAGGTATGTGTAAGAAGACTTGTGTATCGTTATCAGGCTGACTAGTGTCAGAGCCAAGGATGAGATGAGAATACTCGTCAAGAAGTTCCCTGGCGGCTTCGAAGACTGGGAAGCCCGACATGCGTCTTCATAACGTGACCTCTAGGGGTCAAACGCGATCTCGTCAATGGCTGGCCTCAGGTCCATTCGATTGCATTTTTCAGAGTGGCCACTTACCCCGCGTTCGATATGCGTGAAGCGACTGTGCCGCAAGACTAGACTGTAGAGACGTCAAAGCGTGTCTTATGAGTCAGGTGCCACCCTTCTCTTTTGTACCCTGTTTGAAGCATTCAGCTCTGAACGACACGGCTCCCGATCAGAATGGTCAAGAACGAACGTAACGGAGTCGCGAAAGAAGAAGGGGTTTCGCATGCGCTCGCAGATCAAGGGAAAGAGGGCGCAAATGACGAAGATACTTCGTACACCACATTCACTCCCACTCAGAAGCGACTTTTACTCGGGGCTTGCTCTACAGCAGCGGTATTCTCAACAATCTCTTCGTTCATTTACTTCCCTGTGATCATAGCCATCGCAAACTCATTGCACGTTTCCATCGAACAGATCAACTGGTCTATCACTTCGTACTTGATAGTATCAGGATTCGCGCCCTCGGTATTCGGTAGCCTGGCTGACGACATTGGGAGACGTCCCGTACTTCTTTTGACCCTCTCCATATACGTTGGGGCAAACATAGGACTGGCCCTTACGCAGCACTATGCGACTCTCATAGTAATGAGGTGCCTCCAAAGTGCTGGTGCTTCGAGTACCATCGCGATCGCATTCGGTATCATCGCAGATATCTCGATACCTGCAGAAAGAGGATCTTACGTGGGTGTGTTAATGGGTGCTACCAACGCTGCGCCATGCTTGGGGCCTGTCATTGGTGGAGTAGTTTCAGAAAAGCTATCGTGGAAATGGATCTTCTGGCTCTTGGTCATCGTTGCCGGAACTTTGCTGGCGACACTTACCCTCTTCCTTCCGGAGACCGAAAGATGCCTTGTAGGAAACGGGAGTCTTCAACCAGCGCGCCTCATGAACAGAACCATATATTCGCTTGTATCTCGGCGTAAGACCAGGTCTCCGGCAGCTGCATCTTCTCGAAGTCGTGGCTCCGCCTTTCTAGGACCTTTCAAATCACTGTTAGCTCTCAGGAACCAAGCCAACTTCATCGTTATCTTAGCCGGCGGTATCACTTACACTATGTATACGTGTCTCGCGGCTTCCCTCTCAGCGGCAGTCATCGCAGAGTATGAGATGAATTACCTTACGGCGGGATTGACCTACCTTCCAAACGGCATTGGCGGTATCCTCTCATCGTATGCGTCCGGCAAGCTCCTCGATCACGACTACAAAGTCACTGCGCGCAGACTAGGCCTCCCATTAACATCTCAATCGGGCAACGAATTCCCCTTCGCAAAGGCTAGACTGCGATCGATATTTCCGTTTGTAATCGTTAGTGCGGTGGCTACCATAGGGTACGGTTGGGTATTGCACACGAGGTCGCATATCGCTATACTGCTAGTGGTCCAATTCTTCTCAGGAGCGGCTCAGGTATCTATTTTCGCGACAGGCGGGACGCTGCTCACAGATCTGAATCCCGGGAGAAGTTCGACTGTACAAGCGAGTTACAGCCTGGTGAGATGCGCTCTCAGTGGTGCCGGCGTGGCGGCTTTGGAGTTCATGGTGCGCCAGATAGGGTACGGGTGGACTTTTACCGTCTTTGGGGGCTTGGGACTTTTGTGTGTACCCATACTTTTCTATCTGAAACAGAAGCGTGCTCTATGAAGCAGAGACTTGATTGTTGGCTGATTATAGGTGGCTGGAGGGTCGCGTCGCGATCATGAACATGACGCGTTTAGGCTGAGCTTAGCGCCCTTGCCCCCTACCTAATCAATTGATGACGCCCCGCGGGAGGCCTCCTGCACCAACCCAACACGTCTTCGAAACGATCCTAGCATGAATCCCAATAGGCAGCAACATCGTTCATGGCAGCATTCTGCCGCACAGCCCGATCACCAACAACGCAGGCAACCATAATGCTGAGTCGTTCTTTGTATTCAAAACGTCACTCTGTCGAATAACCCGACAAGCACTCTACTCCACAATAACAATTTTGCCAATCATGGCCAGTTCCGCGGCCAATAGAAAGGCTGAGCTCGACATGTTCCAGCACTCTATTCTGCCAAAAGAGAAGGGCTCCTTCCGATTGATACACATCAGACCTGATCTGTCCGTCGACGGCCTCCCCGATTGCTACTTACAGGATGCGCTAGTTCAAGAATCGAACTATGTCTGTCTTTCCTACACCTGGGGTCAACCAGGGGACGAGTACCCCATCAAGCTCAATGGAGAACTATTTCATGTGCGCCGAAATCTCCACAATTTCCTCCAAGCGGCACGTCAGCGTCTCACATTCTGTACGCTATGGATAGACGCGTTATGCATAAACCAAACCGATGTCGAGGAAAGAAACCATCAAGTTCAGCAGATGGGTAACATTTTTGCTGCCGCAAGAATGGTAGTGTCGTGGCTAGGTAATAGTCTCGAGACGCAAGAATTCGTTCAGGCGGTAGGACAGGAGTTCGACCGCCAGGTATGGAAGACGTGGGAGTGTTTCTATCACCGCAAGCACGGTGATAAATCTTGGGGGAGCTACTCCCGGATCTTGGAGCCGAACGGCAAGAGTCAATTGGTCCAGACCCATAAACTCATGGAAGACAATACACACAACTCCCACATCCCGGACTCTTCACCCATTGAGAAATATTACGGTCGCGTTGCGAACAATCCTTACTGGAAAAGAGCCTGGGTTACACAAGAAATACTGCTATCAAGCACGCTGATCGTGATGGCTGGAGAGCATGTCATCGATTTTGTGTCACTCGCGCACATGTGTATCCGTACAAGAGATGAGATGCCTGAGGACCCATTGGAGGAATATGCGCGCTTTTTACTAGTGAACAAAAGCAACGACACAGAGAATAGACCAAACCGCTCGTCTCTGTTCAACGTGGACAGGGGGAACACGCAAGGACTGCTTGCCCTCCTGAGGCACTTCTCAGGAAAATGTTGCGCAATTCGACGGGATCGTATCTACTCCCTCTTAGCACTTTGTAAAGGTGGCGAGAAGATCAAGGTTGACTACGATGAACCAGATATCAAGCTCATCATGCAAGTTCTAGATGCCTGCAAAGAAGAAGTGTGCTTCTGTTCTGCAGCTACTGTGGCTCGCATTGTAAAAGGTCCAGAATTCTTACGTCTGGAAAAAGAAGCTTACGATGTCACTCTGACCTATGACTTCAAGCTCCAGGCATACAGTTCAGACTTAGAGGTTTGTCCATCATGCTCTCAGCAGATACGTCGATCTAAGCCTGGTGTATACTTTTGCTTGAGCTGCGACTCCGACATTTGCAAGGACTGGCAGGGACACCTCTTTTGGGATAATTCCTCTTGTGAAGACGCAGTAAATCCCTCTCGGCGTCGTGACCTCCGGTGGTCAGCCAGAGAAGACATGCGCAGGGCGCGAGTGCTATGTAGGAAAGGACAAGGAATTGAGATCAAACGCGAAGAGGTCGAAGGCGATATTTACACCTTGCGATTTTCTCTCGGTACCCTTGTCGATGTCATGCATGTCATGTATGAAGACGAAAAGCGGGGTGGTACATCACACACATGTCGTGGTTGACGACGAAATCTGCTCTTCGGCATGAACTCATGCCTAGGCAGAGATGCTGGGTATATACGTGCTATATCCTAGTATTCAGCACGCATGGATCTTGACAAAGCTTGGGTTTGTCGTGAAAACGATATCATCATGACTGAAGCTACCCCCACCGACCAAATGACTACATCAGCGAAGTACGTGAAGAATGGTAAACGCTCTCAGACGCCTCAGATCTGTAACAATGTACCTGATGCAGGGACCTCTTTGTGGGACCAGTGTCTTGAGAAGTGCCTTATTGTGGAGGAGTAGACTTTGTTGCATCTTTGGGCGAGCTCTTGGGCGTCAATCTCACTTACGCCGGGCTCATTTTCGAGAAAAACAAGCCTTCGCTGCCCCTCCGTGTTCGTTGTCGTCGCCTTTCGCACATGGAGATGCAGGGAACTGGCCTTCAGTGAAACCATGATCCTACTGAGAGTTGTGCAGTCGCCGAATTCGAAATGCGCTGCTTCCAACAAACAAGGGAGCAGCTCGCTTCGCAGGCTCTTACTGGTAAGACAGAGAGGTGGAATAAATGGAGAGTGCTTCCTCTTGACTCGGATAGACCGCTCGTAATCCTTGGAGAATCGCAAGTGTGGCCAATTCTGACAGGCTATCGAATGCTTTTCGTCTAGGAAGTACTGTTCGTAGACCATACGTCGAAGCTCCTAGGAGGAACTGTCAGCCAAATCAACAGTCGGAGTGGGTGCGGTTATGACACGTACGACAGGTAGGGTTATGAAGAGGTGGAATGTGGGTTGGTGAAGTAGCTCCTCAACGTATGGGTTGATCGCGGTCAGGAGCTCTTTGAAGCCATCGTGCGCATTGTCGGCGTCCAGACCATCGGTCGCGTCATTCATAGCCGGTGCCATGGTGTCGTTGGAGGCCGGGTGTGTCGAGCGGGTGAAACACGCGTGGTTAGATCGGAGTGTGTTTACCACAGACTTCGGAAGGCAAGAGCGACTAGAATTGGGAAGCGACGGAGGACGTTGTTCGGCGCGCTCTCTCACGTTTTTGTGGCTGACAGCAGTAGCCTCTTAGTCTGCAGAGTACTTCCAACTCTGGTGAACGAGGTAGTCGCGTGAACTGTCGGGGTAAAGGCGACGCGCTAATGCTATCACACTAGAGCCCGTCCGGCCCGGTCACCCACAGTTGCAATCGTGGACAGTCCTGCCATAATGGCACTGCGAACCGAATTCCAGAATGAGTCGAGGTCCTTGTGTGAAATGTTGAACAGCTTCGTCAAGAGATGCGTCGGCGATAGAGACATGCTACAAATGGTCGCATAGGTCTGATTTACCCCCCACTACGAGTTAGGTAGAAGAGCAACTGTGGATATTCAAGAACAAAACTATCAACTGATACTTTGTATATTCTCGTTGATCAGCTAACGCTACTAATATGGTGGGCACCTCGACATTACATCTCTACTCGTCATCATCGTCATCATCGACAACAGGTACAGGGTCAGCTTTGCCTGTGGTCTTGACCTTCCGGTCCTTCTCCGCACCGGCTGGCTTCTTGCCTTTCGGGCTGGCGTCTTCATCCTCGTCGTCGTCTTCCTCGGGCACCGCGGCGTCGTCGTCATCGTCGTCGCTCACGTCGTCTTCCTCCTCCTCTTCATCATCCTCATCATCTTTGGGCTTGGTGCGCTTGGTCTTCTTCTTTGGTGCTGCAATCGAGTGTGAGAAACTTATGTTCGATGATATTGGGTGATAGTATTGGCTTACGAGGCTCTTCGGCGTCGGAATCGTCTGAATTAAAGTTTGATCCGTCAGACTCGTCATATCTACGTGGCATGTGTTAGCGCTATGATGAATCTTCCATGGTCGAGAGTAAAGCGCAGCCCAGAAGCCCTCGACACTCAAAGGAGAGACGTGACCGTCGAGCGAATCCAAGTTAAGAGCGTTGTGAGCATTGTTGCGAAACGCCGTCGCGTCAACCGTTTCTCCACCCCGAAAGCCCGGGCGCAACATCGATTCCGCGCCTGTCAAACTTTCGTAGAACTTGGTAACAAGTCCAAAGATCCTAATTCACTTTGAAGAGGGAAGGCGATTGCGATGCCTTCAAGAGGGGATGCATGCGACGCGAAGTGCAAGGGCCATGACGTCAAGGAAGCGTCGACTTACTCTTCTTCCTCTTCGCTCTCATCACTTGGGAGAGCGACAAGCTCCTCCTCCTGGTTCTTCCTCTTTCTTGTGGACATTGTGTCGTTCTGGGGAAATTTGACAAAGGTTGGTAGGTCAAGGTAGTGTTTTGGGGTAGGGCGAGAGCTGAGAGCTATGGAGAAGCTTGCGAGCGGGGACCCAGGGACGGGCGCCCGGATGAAATAGACACCACCTACGCAGGCCCTACCAAGGAGGCTGGGAAGCCAGGGCTCTTGCGGGCTTTTGCTCAATGGCTTAGTTCGGGCTGTTCGGGTGTGTCCAGGTTAGCCAATCATTGGCCATGTGGTCATCACCCGCATGGGAGCACCGGGACGGGGGCACACAAGCGTTGCGCTGATGTTGCTTTGCTGCAGGTACCGCTCAATGTCTGTTGATATGAGAGATTCATCGAGAGTGTCGCAAAGACATACGTATCAACGGCAATTGTAGGATAGATAATCGTGAACATTGTGCATCCAACCAGCCTCCACGGCATAGGAGGGACACAACAATAGCTACGCAGTGTGCTCTTCTACGGCAAATCATCTGTAAACACAGAAATGCGTCAAATGTAGCTCATATATGATCCATACATGTAGAATTGCATATGGGATCCCTTCGACGGCTAGCGATCCGATACAGCGTTGAAGGCAGCAGGCTCCCACAATAACGGTGTTGGCCATGTGTTCGCAGCTCGAGGTGCAGCGCTCTCTGCCCAAAACGGTCAAGTTCACCCCACTTAGCGCCAGTCATTTCTAGTGCCCCTCCCGCGGTACCGCGTCTCATTCGTGCTGCCTTGCCGACTTGACTTTCTTACTCTCGATCGTTCCTCAACCGACCCGACACAACGCTCGTTCGCACCCGCGCCCTACATTCCTACACGCACAATATGTCGGCAGCTCAGGTCGCAAGGGGACCGCGGATCAAAGGTCTGAGCGATCCCTACCACTATCAATCCAAAGCAACGCAACGAAGCAAGGCGCCCGTGGTGGCTGCCACCAAAACCGCGAAACGTACATACAACTGCTGCGAGAAACCCGAGATAGATACTTCCGACAATGAAGTCTTGTGCTACAACTGCGGTGCTGTCCACGGCGAAAACAACATCGTCTCCGAGGTTACTTTTGGCGAAACTTCGGGCGGAGCAGCCATTGTCGAGGGTGGCTTCATCCACGCCAACCAGCGTCACGCGAATTCCATGGGCGGCACTATGCGGGGTCTGGAGGGCATGGGGAGCAGGGACCAGGCTGCGATGAATGGCAAGAACTCCATCGTAGCTCTAGGCGCATCTCTCAACCAGCGCGAGGCCGTCGTAGAACAGGCTTACAGCTGGTACAAGCTCGCCATGAACCACCGATTCATCCAGGGTCGCCGCATGAGGACCGTTGCCGCTGTCGCGATCTACATGGCAGCACGGAGACAACCCGAGAACACGCTCATGCTCATCGACCTGGCCGAAAAGATTCAGACCAACGTCTGGCAGCTCGGAGACACGTACAAACAGTTTCTGGAGATGTTGAAGGAGGACGATCCCGCACAGCTCGTGGGCACAAAAGCCGTCCAGGAGATCGAGCCGTTGATGCTGAAATACTGTCGGAAGCTCGAGTTTGGAGAGGATTCTCACAGGGTCGCCGACGACGCCTGTAGGGTCCTGAAGCGCATGAACCGGGACTGGATGGTGCAAGGTCGTCAGCCGGCTGGATTGTGTGGCGCCTGTATCATCATAGCCGCCCGCATGAACAACTTCCGCCGGACCATCCGAGAGGTCGTCTACGTTGTCAAGGTCGCGGACTCCACCATCACCTCCCGTCTATACGAATACAAGAGGACACAGAGCGCGGCTCTCACTGTCAACCAGTTCCGAGAGTTCGGGCCCCGTCTCAAGGTCAAGGCTCAGCCTCCTGCCATTTGGAGGCGCGCAGAGAAGGAAGAGCGAAGGGAAAAGAGGAAGCAACGAGCAATTGAGGGCGGCGACCCGGAGACTACAGAGAACCAGTCGGGAGATAGCGAGGCAGAAGCAGGCTCGGACACGGCACCAAAACGCACGAGCAAGAGGCGCAAGTCAAACGACGGTTCATCTCAGCCAGCTGCGACCCAGACGGAAGCTTCTGGTACACAGGGTAGCGATCCATCCTCCGAGTTAGCGGCTCTGGACGGCAACACGGAGGCGGTCCTGGAGTCTGTTGTCAGTGCAGTCGAGGAAGTCGAGGCCGGTGAGACCATCGACCCAGACTTTGTCATGCCTAAGAAGCGTGGCAGACCTCCAAAGAAGCCGCGAGTACCGGTCGTCATCGCTGAGGAGGATCTCGAAATTGAGCACGAGCTTGAAGACGAAGTCACAAATACCATCAAGGACTGGGAGGGTATCTTCAAGGAAATTGCCAACAGCGAAGATCACGAGCTACTCAGGCGTTCTGGCTGGACAGCAGCAGAGATGGCCCGCGTCGCCGCCGACACCCGCGATGCCGTCCCCGTAAACACAGATCCTGAGATTGGAGAAGACGAGTTCAACGACGACCCCGATGTCGCCACTTGCATCCTCAACCCCGAGGAAGTCCGCCGCAAGGAAGCCATCTGGATCACGGAGAATGAACAATGGCTGCGCGACCAACAGACGAAGATGTTGCAGGCCGAACTCGAGGCCGCAGAGGACAAACCCAAGAAACCCAAGCAGAAGCGCAAACACCACCAGATGGGCGATGGCAATGTTCTTGAGGGTCAGCCTGCAGCTAGTGCGGCGGACGCTGCCCACAAGATGCTCAAGAAGCGCGCCAAAGCGTTCAGTAACCACATCAACTACGACCGACTCAAGGAGCTATTCCCCGGCGGTCACCCTTCTGCGAGCCCATCTGCCAGCGGTCAGGGTGCTAGTTCAGCCTCAACGCCTCAAGCTGTTGTGCAGCAGCCTGCAGATGTCGACGTGGAAGGCGAGGAAGATGAGGAGGAGGAAGAGATGGAAGAGGTAGAAGAAGAAGAGGAAGATTTGGAGCACAATTACTTGGAAGACGATGATGAAGGATTTGCTAACGAAAGCTACGACTACTAGAAGTATTGTCCGTGGTTCATTTTGGGAATATCAAGAGCTTGGCGATTGGTTTTGCATTTACATGGCGAAAAGTCTACTAGATATCACGACCTTGGTCGGCTATCATTCACGAAGTATTGGGGCTTGCTTTCACAGCCGCGTTGGCTGGAAATTAGATGCGGAGTATCTTGGGGTTGAGACTTTGCATATATACCCCCGCTTGTGAGCGCAGCATAGCATCATGGCAACGGCGTTTAGCATTCATCAATGAACATTCAGATCAATATTCTTTGCTTTTACACGTTTCAGTCCTGGCGCATATATCACGTTTCAAGGTCAGAGGCGACAGATGTTGTTTGTAGGGGAGGAATTCCCAATGATAGATTGGTCCCTGCTTCGTAACTCGTTCACACATGCTCATGCTACCCTAAATTTTTGGTATGCGAAACCCTTGCCATAAAACGCCGAAAAAGTCTATCATGGAAGACACAGGCGCCTCATTCCCCGAACGGTGGTTGACGCCGTCCCAAACCGCACTCTGAAAGAGACAAACTAGCACATCTTGTACTGTGACTCGCCTGATGCTTGCCTGTGCATGTCGTTCGCCTCGAGCTTGTATGAGATACTAATGTCCAAATCGCGGTGGTTCTTCTCGTTGGGCTTGTTCTCTAGTATGCCGCTGATGGTCTCGCCCTCCTCGACCGTCAGTACATCCTTCAGGTAGAAGACTGTCTGCTTCCAGTGGGTGTACTTGGTGTGGGGTCCGGTGGAGAAGCGGATGGGCTTGTGGCAGGCGGCGAACTCGATGTCGAACCACGCGATGACGGCATGGATGAAGTCGCTGCGGCGCGCCTTGAGCTCGTAAGGTAACCGGAAAGCGAGGTCGGCGACGGTGCAGGTGTAAAGGTCAAGGGTGATGACGGGGGAGGGGTCGGTGACGACGGCCTTGATGTCGACGGTGTCGACGAGAGGCTCGGTGATGGCGGTTGCCTTGAGAGGAGAGTAGTCGAAGCCCCAGACGTTGTCCCAGACTGTTCTGTTAGCAGTGTCGCAGCAAACAGATTTATGCTTTTACTCACATCCAATCTTCTCCTCCTTGTACTCGCCATCCTCGATACCAGCCATGAAGATGGTAGCCTTGTCGGGGAAGATCAAGCCGTCCTTGACCAGGTACTTGTCGCGGGCGTAGAGAACGGTGTCCAACATGGACTCGTAGAGCAGGAAGTAGCCCATCCACTCGGATATTATTATGTCGACTTTGTCGAAGGGTAGGACAACCTCCTCCATCTTGCCCTGTAGCAGGGTGATCTTGTCCGACATGCCGTTGACCTCGACGATCTCCTTCGCCTTGTCGATGATGGTTGACATGTCAACACCAATGACGTGCTTTGCGCCGGCCTTTACGGCGAACCTATAGCCAGCATATCAGCGCGTGCTCGTGTGTGGTATATGGAGGGGGGGGGGGGGGGGGG